TGCCTCTGAGACCCACAGAACTTTCTTCTATGATGGAAGGAGGTCACTGGTAGTTTTAGGTATTTAACCTTGATCACCTGAGCATGCTGCTCTGCTGGCGGGTGGTTGTAAGAGACAAGAGAGCATGTGACAGCACAACTTAACTGGAAACTGAAAACTTTTTGCTGCTGGAAAAATATGAGGAAATGCCAGTGCAGCTGCTGACATCATAGAGATGACCCCTGAAATGTATGTTCTGTATTTTGGTTTTTGTGTGTATTTTAGCTTTAGTTTTTATATTTTAAATGCCTGTGCTGCTCTCAATATACTTTTAGAGGGGGAGACCCTATGTCTTGATGGGGATTCCATATTATAGAGCCTAGCTACAGAAAAGTCCAGGGCCAAGGGAAACACTTCCGTAATATATTCTCCAGAGAGAAGGGGTTTAAACTTCTCCCCTCCCCACTCCGCCTTGGCAGGCCGGCTGAGGAAGGGGAGGCTTTTGAAGGTGCCTTCCCCCCTTTTTTACTTCCCCTTCTGACACACTTCCGATGTTGTCGGGGGCGTGGCATATGCTAATGAGTTATGCTAATATGTATGCTAATGAGCCCCTGCACCTCTTTTTCTACAAAATGACCCCTGCTTAAGTCTAAGAGTTTCTCTGCACAAATCATTAAGGAGCTCTATACAGATTTCAAGATTAGTATATTAAGTCCATAACCTCAACCACTTAACTGAACCCCAAGATGAGCTTATCTCCTTGCAGCAGACTCCACTCAGCAGGTTAAACTAGTGCTCTGCCCTTACCCCAAGTTTCAGAATCTGAATATTTCTTCTGTTGGCATACTCAGTCAATTCGTATGATGAATATCGGTATAAGGAAGGTCATCACCTACAAGAAAGAGAGTTCCATTGTGCAGAAAGGTTAGTCTGAACCTGTGAAGGTTTTGTGAGCATTCAGATTACTGAATCTTGTCCCCTCCCCCAAAAAAGAAAATTAATTGGAATTATTTAGATTTTTAGATAAGACAAATTCTCTTACTTCTCTGCAGCCTCCCAAGATAAAGGCATGTGAAACACTGCACTAATTACTTGTCCTCCATCCAATAGGTAACATTATCCACTTTTCAAAATCTGTTTCTCGGGTAATCCTGCAGAAGAAAATAAACATTGTCCATTTATATTTGTAAACAGAGAGTGGTTTTTTATTGCGTTAAGGTAATCCTTTAGTTTAGTTCAGTTTAGCTGCGGTGGCTCAAGTGGTTAAGACACTGAACTGCAGGCTGTGGAAGGTCGGTAGTTCAGCAGTTGAAGACCCGAGTTGCTGCGTGACGAAGTGATCTACCGTCTCTAGTTCCAGCTCCTGCCAACCTAGCAGTTTGAAAGCAAGAAATTGCAAGTAGATAAATAGGTACCACTTCGGTGGGAAGGTAACAGCATTCTGTGCGCCTCAGCATTTAGTCATGCCGGCCACATGACCACCAAAATGTCTTCGGACAGCGCTGGCTCTTCGGCTTTGAAACAGAGATGAGCACCGCAACCCTAGAGTCGGACTCGACTGGCTTTCGAGCAAGGGAACTAATCCTTTAGAAGTTCACTAGAAAGTGTATGGTACTGTTACCCAGTGCGCTCAGGGCAACATGTCTGAAATTCTAATCTAGTGTTAACTGGACTTGGGTCCATGCTCCAATAGAAAGGAATGAGCCTAAGAGGTTGGGATCAAAATGAAAAGTGACAGAGCTTTACAGCAGGCTTAGAAGGGAAAGTAGAGTCTGTAGTGATTTGAAATCCTTAGAGATACTTTATTGAGGTGAATCAGGATTCCAGGCAAGCAATCAGAGCAAAATTCCAGTGTATTTCCACACAAAACACAACACAGCCCATCAATTCAAGTACTCATTTTTGGAATCCTGTGACAGACTGTGCTTTAAAGCTCATAAATGCTGTGTAAACATGTGACGGGCTGTGATGCGGTTAATACCTCACAGAGCTGGAGAGCCTCTGAGTGACAGGCTGCTAAAAGGGATTTGATTGGTTAGTGTCAGTTGAACAAATAGACTTGAGAATTGACTACTGAAGAGAACTCAGTTGGAGTTTAGCCCTGACTGAGGAGAGTTTAGGACTGACTGAAGAAAGTCTAGCACTGACTGAGGACAGGGAAGGTTGGCAAGGAGGAGTAGGAGGATCGGTAAGCTAAACCCCAATTGAGTTATCTTCAGCAGTCAGTTCTCAAGTTTTTTGTTCAACTGACACTAACCAATCAAATCCCTTTGTCACTCAGAGGCTCTCCAGCTCTCACAGTCCATCACATGTTTATACAGCACAAGAGCTTTAAAGCACAGTCCATTAAACACCCATCCAGTAGTACCTCCCCAAAGCAGTGTATGTAAGGCTCAGAGAACAGATATAAGAGAGCAAGAGGCAAGCAGAGAAGGGGGAAAGAGGCATAGTGGGGAAGGACCTATCCTTTTCTGTGTTGGAGAATTGTCAAGGATGACTTGGCTATGTTGCTCCTGAAATATACACATCATCTGGGTCTTGCAGGGAGATCCCTTGTCAAGGGAAGGGCCCTTGACAAGAAGGGGGCCAAATGGTGATCTCACAGCAATTCCAGGGAATAAATTCAAATAGGGAGTGAGACTGAGTCAGATCAGTGTATCCGAACCCAGGATATGCAGATAGGCGGTAAATGAGAGACGAGGCTTGTGCAAGTTGGCAAGAGTGCAGCAAACTGTTACAGGGACTGAGCACAACAGAAAATAAAAGTTGACTTTTCACAGGTCTTGCCAAGAGCAGAAAGAATGTCTGGGAGGGTCAAAATTAGTACTCCTGATTGGCCCAGGAAAGAGATCAAGGTGAATCGGAGACCTGCCACTCCTCCAATTGGAAGTAGAGGGGATGGGTGGATGGGAGATCTGAAAGAGGCTTAAATTGTTTGTTTGCACAAGAACTGGCTGTGAAAGATTCTTTAGTATGAAGGGAATGGAGGCAGACTTTGCCTTTACAGTGGATCTGAGTACTTGATACAACACAATGCCTTGGTCTGCTGGGTTGGGTCTGCTGCCCAGGAGACTGCATAGTTTAGCTCCTTCATTGAGGAGCCAGCTATCATTGCAGGGGACTCAGAATAGATCATGCTGACTGGCTAATCCCAGCCTCACATCTCTTTCTATCACCATTCTTGCCTAGAGAGTTCTTTAAAAGCTGGCAGACCATTCTGGAGCTAGCAAAGGCATTTGGGCCCAGTGCTAGCCAAAATGGTAAGAATTGGTGCCAACAGACTGAGCTACCAATTGTTGCTGCAAGATCTCCTGTCAACTGAGAAGCAAAGCATTCCCTTGGGGTTCCCATAATTGTCAGTCAGAGCCATGACTTCCCATATTGGCTAGAATACAGAAAGCAGAAATTACAACAAGTAAGATATATAAAGTAAGCAGAAGACTGTCAGCACAATTTCCACCTGTCTTAACATCCAGAAGACACAGATACCTACAAACAAGGCCAAATGGTATGACTGGATTCTGGATAAATCCTACCAGCTAAGCAGTATGACAACCCTACTTGTATTCCTTCCAAGTTTGTAGAAGAGCTCCATTTCACAATTTAGAATTAGCAGAGTTTGACAGCAACTATGTTATACATATTGCTTACGTTTATGCAAATGTTTCCTTGAATGAACATGTTCTTTCCATTGCTTTTCACTCAGATCATATGAAAAAAATTTAAAGGCAGAGGACAAAAAAAAAATGGTACTTTTGAATAGTGGTCTGAGTGTAATTTATTTCAGATATCTTTCTATTTTCATAAATGATGTGTAGCAAGAGCAGAAGATTATAAGTACATGTTTTTATCAATATATTGTCCAAAAGATTGTTTGCAGCATGGTTGTTTTTTTATATATCTTTCAAAACAATCTAGGCTTTATATCCATTTTTGTTGTAGTATTATGACATATACAACTGGATGGATTGTAAACTGTTGGGAGGCCAGTGGTATGGTTATCCGTTTTTAAAATGCATATGTATACTGCCCAGCATTCATGACATCAAGCAGTAATTCACAAGAGATATACAATATGAACTTTTAAGCTTGATAAAATATGGTTTGTCTACAATGAGTATGCCACATTTCTGGAGTCTTAATAGAGTGCTACCGAACAGTGTTAAATATGAGTATAAGAACACTAGTGCTTTCTCACTCACTGACCAAGACACTGTGGTGGGTATCAAAATAGTGAAGGTCCACGTCAGACAGATAACTAGAAATTGGTGCACACATTGCTCAACAGAAGTTGAGTACTAAAAAGATCTGAACATGCCAAGTGAAAGAGGCGCATATGGGGAAAGAGTGCTTACTGTTTCTTTAACAGCAAGAACAGACCTTTGGTCTACCCCACAAATTATATTGAATTAATAAAAAGAAGCAGAGACTAGACTAAACAGTATTCTGAACACTGTTGCCAAAAACATTGGCTATGCATCTAGTTCCTAACAACGACATAATCTCTAGTAGAACTTTCCTCATCTTGTGACATCACAACATTCCACATTTTTACACCGGTTCTGGGACCAGAGAAATATGGGATGTTACGATCTGAGGATCAACAGAAACAGGTCCTCTCAGAGGTCTGGAGTCTCCCAGGCAAATTCCTGCTTTTGAGGTATAATAAAAAATTAAATAGCTAGACATGAGGTATATAAAAACAAGTTGTGAAACTTATCAAAGGCCGAAAGTTAGCGGGTATATACAGCCCCCTTTTGAGCTGGAGGCTCAAGTCAAATAGCCCCCCATTGGCCCTGAACAGGACCATGACTGTTGAAGTTACTGTATGTTTAGAATGATCTTCTGTTTGGCTCTGGGTTGTAAAAATAAAAATAGAGAACTAGAGGAGAATGTGTCGATATAAAATACATCGAACTCATATAAAACAAATAGCTTTATTACGTGGTTATTTAAAGATATCCTGTCAAGATATATGAAGAATGTGTGTCTCAATATATTGGCCATCTTTGCTTCTTCAGGTACCTGTCTCAGTGGCCATGATGACTCCCCAGGTGATCACCCCTCAGCAAATGCAGCAAATTCTCCAGCAGCAAGTTTTATCTCCACAACAGCTTCAAGCACTTCTCCAGCAACAACAAGCAGTTATGTTACAGCAGGTAATGTGCATCTTTATGACCTGTTAGCATAGCTCAGCCTTCTTCATAGTCTGTGGACCAAGAACCAATCATTGATATATTGCGGCAAAATTTGTTTGTGTTTTTCTGAAGGGTATATATCTATGTATTAAGTTTTGATGGGATAACCCGTTCTGATTGGTAGCTTAAGCTTTTTATGACATCATCAAGATTCCTGAAGCCAGTTTTTCTTACCACTTCTCATATGACCTATAACTCAGGAACCCAGTGGCCAGTTTCAAATTTTAAAGCATTGTTGGAAAGCTAATAAACTCAGCTACTAAAAAGTAACAATGCCTCTGTCCATCCCAGTTTTTGTGATATAAGGCATAAATCAAAGAAAAGAGTAATTTTTCCATAGCATGTGGCTCTTTACCTAATCCAGATTCATAAAGGATATTAGACAGCTGCTGCCAAACCAGTTTTTTTAAACTGCATAGCCAGTCAGATGGTGAGTCAGAAGGCATGCTGGGTAAAAGCCCCACCTGGCCCCACTCACATTTTAAAAAAACCTATCAGGTGCCCGGAAAGGTGTCGGTGGGCATGATGGCACCCATAGGCCTACATGGTGGACCCCTAGTTTAAATAGCTTATAGTTAGTATCTTGATAACATGCAAATTGTAAGTCCTGCATCCTGCTGTACAGGTAACAGAATAATGAACTCTCGACACTCTGCCTCTCTAAAGAATGGGTGATTTTGTTTGGCCTTACTGGAACTTTTGAATATTTACTAAGTTAGATGACTATCTACTTGAAGCTACATTTTATTTCAGATGTGTATTGAATTTGTGTGGTAATTTGGGGAGTAAGTTGGCCCTTGCTTCATGCTTTCTAGAATATATATCCTTTTGTTTAGGATATTTTGGAATCTGCATAGAAATATTTCAGAGCTGCCTTGGAAAAAAATGTATGTAGATCTATTTCTTCAAGCTACATTTTTGTTCTAAGGTGAATCCTAATGACTGCCCTACGATATTATCAATCTAGAAGAGTTCAGGAGATTTGTATAGTATTTGAAACTTTACCCTTATTTATCAAAGTCAAAATGGTTTACTCAGCAACAGCTACAAGAGTTCTACAAGAAACAGCAAGAGCAGTTACATCTTCAGCTTTTGCAGCAACAGCAGCAGCAACAGCAACAACAACAGCAGCAGCAGCAACAGCAACAACAACAGCAACAGCAGCAGCAGCAGCAACAGCAGCAGCAACAACATCCAGGAAAGCAAGTGAAAGAGGTTAGAGTCTTCAACAGTCAATTGATAAATCATTGCTTGGGTCTGGGCAGGGGAGGAAGAAGGGCTAGATCAGGGAACCCCAATCTTTTTGAGCCAGCAGGCACCTTTGGAATTTTGAGAGGAAGTGGTGTGTGCCACTCCAAAATGGTTGCCAAAGGAGGCAGAGCCAAACATGATACCTCCCTCTCCAATGTGCAAGAGAATCAAATAAGGGAAATAAAGGAGAGGAAAGAAGAAAAAGGAGAGGAGGAGATTGGATTTATACCCCGCCCTTCACTCGGAGCCTCAGAGTGGCTTACAAACGCCTTTCCCTTCCCCTCCACCCAACAGACACCCTGTGAGGTAGGTGGGGTTGAGCTGCAAGTGGAGGAGTGGGGAATCAAACCCGGTTCTCCCAGATTAGAGTCCACACACTTAACCACTACACCAAACTGGAGGGAGAATATAAAGAATATAAAGAATGAAAGCCTAAAGGAGAAATTCACTCATGTACTAAGGAAATCCCAAATGCCCTTGATCCTCCAATGGCTGCAGCTGCTATTGCAGCTGTAGAAGACCCTTTCATGTGAAGAGAGAACAGTTAATAATAAGACCTTCCTTACAATTGCCCCACCCTCTTTCTAAAAAGTCCTGACGAGCACCTGTAAGCACCATGTTGGGGAACCCTGTGCTATATCCTTTGTATTTAAGATTATCATTATGAGAATCTATTGGTGCTGATATAGCTCATAGCTAGTTTACACAGTTTTGTCTCTGTGGACGTACTGGTGCAGCAAATGGATGATATGAACCAAACTCTTTGTGGATACAGCCTCTGCTTCTTGAGGGTAATTCCTCTGATAGCAAAGGCTGACAAAATGCACAGCTGCAGTTGCAGAAATCACTGTCAAAAATGGCAACTGTATCCATGGAGATCTGGGTTTGTACAAGACATTATCAGTGTAAAAATGTCCTCAGCGAGCATTGCATGGAGACAAAACCAACCTAGGGAAATGGCCAAGACAATTTGTGAAATGATCCATATGCACATACACACACTATTAAATAACTGAATAAGTGTGTTAGATACAACTCCTCATCAGTCAAAAACTTGACCTGAATATGCTGACTACTTATTTTGCTGGTTGAAGACTTCTTTATACAAGTAACTTGATTTTTTAAAAAAACTATTGAACTTTACTGTTTTTAACTATTATTGTAAGAACCTTGAACCATGAGAAAAGGATGGATATATAAATGTTTTGTTTTTTTTTCTTTTCACCTTTAAAGTACACTAAAGAATACCATCTTACTATTCCTTACTATTCAACGGGATTGTACAACCATTAGTCCTTTGCTGTGGTAGAGCCATCCTTCTATATTTTCACTAAGTGCTGAACTAGACATTACATTACATTTTTTAAACCGTTGAATCTGGGTTGCCCAGTCTTGACAATATCTATTTATAAATAAAGGAGAGCCTGACTGAGCTGGGAACTGCAACACCGGGGGAGGGGGGGCTCTTGCCTTTTCCTCTGGGTCTTTTCCTGACCAGAAATGGGCCCCCTTTTTCTGTGCACATGGAGCAGCCAAAAAGAAGGAAAGACCTTCCCCACAGTGCTATTTCTGGCCAGGAAAAGGCCCAGAGAGGAAGGTAAAACGCTCTTCTCCCTTGGGGCTGCTGTGGGGCTGCAAGGAGAGAGTTGAGTCCAGGAAACCTAGACCTGACTCTTTAGAAAATGTAATGTCTAGTTTGGCCCTAAGCCTGATAGCTGTAGAAGCAGAACTTTGCAGATGTCCCCTGTTTGTGACCATAGGACTTGGGAGTTAGCTTCACTTTCTGCCATCCTCTAAATTTCGCCAGTCATTCCTACTGGGCAGTAGGAAAATTACTGATTATTTGTCGATGACCACATGTAGGAGTCTTACCTTGTCTTTGTGGTAGAGGGTACAGATCATGCAAATGTAGTCCATTATTTAGAAAAGGAGAGCAGGAGTGGGAGGAGAGAGGGAGAAAACTCTGGGCATAGATTTCAAAGTCACAGACCCTGATTAATGAACTGCTACTGTATGTTTGGAGTGGTGAGTAGAAAGTTACAGTTTGATGTGCTCATAAATCAACCTGACAAGCCAGCTTCTCAGGCCTAGCCTGCACTTGTCAGCAAACTGCATCAAATATAAACATAATACAAACAAAACATGTTGAAGAAGTTAAATTGATCAGCAGGTATCGTAGACGTTGTCTTATAGCTGCCCATTATGCAAACGTACAGGAAACGGTCCCGACCTCCCGAGGCTTTGTTTCTGTTTGGATTTGTGAATAGAATTTCAGACAGCCATCAACTACAGAATAGAAATTGCTCCCTTATTTCTCCCGAGGCTCTGGGCAATCCACATGACTTGCTCCATTATGCAGTCTGTTTTCCAGTGAGCGCATCAGAAGTTTCTCTTTTCCCCAAACTCAAAAAAAAAGGAAAGGTCTTCCACAGCAGCTTGTCTTTCTCTGAAGTGTGACTACATCCTTCTACCCTCCTGAGCCTAAAGAACTCCAGTTTGTCTTGCAATGCCTCACAAAATTAGAAGTTATGCTTTTTTCCTTATAATGGGGGGCTCTTTGCCTCAAATATAATGCTGGGTTTTTAATGTATTCCCCCCTCCACAAAAAAAAAGAGCTGCAAAGAGCTAACAGGCCAGTAAAGCGAAGGCTACATCCCAGTTTACTAATAGATCACTGGAGACTTCATTTATGGGCCACTGCAAATCATACTTATTCAGCTGGAAAAACAAGAGTGCCTTTGAATCACAGACTGTTGTAAAGAGTTACACTTTTTAGCCTAGATAAATTTATCAAATTTCACAAAGTGAGATCCCCCCCCCCCCGGTCGTGTTTTGTCTGCTTCCTTCTGACCCTTTGCCAGAGAAGGGCTCTAAGAGCATATCGTCTGTTTCCTATAATAACCCTGTCACTTAATTACCAAAAATAAAAATAAATCGGGGGGGGGGACTAAGTGTTGTCTATTTCTGTAAGTAATGTTGTTTAATAACGGAGATAAGAGGGGACGACGGTTGAGCTGACACTTCCATGTGTAACAGTTTTTACTGCAGGCTTTACTCTCGGCTGCATTTGTCTCCTCCCCCTTTATATCTATATCTGTATCTATATATCTGTATCTAGCAGCAACAACAGCAGTTGGCAGCCCAGCAGCTTGTCTTCCAGCAGCAGCTCCTCCA